TTTTCATACGATTTCAAGTTAAAATTTACCTAGCAAAAAATAAAAAAATTTCAAATCTGAAGATATCACATGATTCTGCACATAGAACTACATCATTAATACCATGGGCCGATTTTTCAAACTCAAAAAAAAAAATTCGCCTCCGTATGACACACCCTACCAACATATCGACCCTACAATACCGCAGTGACACCACCTTAAAAATTACTATCAATAGATAGTTAAACAGTGTAATCTACGAGTTTTATTATAATTATGGGAAACCGGCAAACATAGTAAATAGACTAAAAGAGGTGTTACATATACATTGTGCGCATAGTGGCAGGTCTGCATCGTGGAGTATGGTGTGAGTGAGCTCCTGTGGTCGTGGCAGAGGTTGGGTTGCACTCACACTTTTACCTCTGGGAAGCCCCCCCCCCCAGTCCTTCCCCCATCTCCTGGCGTTGCGACGCTCCCACGGGGGGGGTAAAGGAACTATTTGAGGCACCGGTACAAGACTATTACTTCACAGAGGTTGGCAGTTAAGTCTGTGTTCTACATTGGGAATCTGTTTGTAGGAGGGTAAGTGTTTTGAAGTGAGTTACTGTAATAGCACTCAGTATGAGGTGGATAACATCTTTCGCACATGTTGATTTGAAAATCATATTTTTGGTAGGCGGCGAAGTTACAAATGTATAAACTCAAATAAATTTGACACTAATTATAGTTGTTGACGTTTTTTATATTTTCAAAAGAGATTTCATCAAGGAGTATTGCTATAGATCTCCACAAGTGATTGTGGGCACTTCGTACCCGGTGGCGAGTCCGGTGGTACAGTTTTCCGAGGTTGTTGTAATCATGGTCGTGGTTATTATAATCATGGTCTTGGTTGTTATAATCATGGTCGTGGTTGTTATAATCATGGTTGTGGTTGTTATAATCATGGTCGTGGTTGTTATAATCATGGTCGTGGTTGTTATAATCATGGTCGTGGTTGTTATAATCATGGTTGTGGTTGTTATAACCATGGTCGTGATTGTTATAATCCAACCCATATGAGCACGAACTAATTGCTATAAGAACAGCCCAGTCCCAACCATTGTAAAAATGGGGAAAGGTCATGGCAGGGTTAGCTCCCGAGGGATAATTATCAGATATGGCCAGTGCTATGTGTGGTCTGGGGGTGTGAGAGTTTGTTGGCCAAGCTGGAGAGGACCAAGGAAGAATTGGAGAGGGCCAAGGAAGAAATAGAGAGGGCCACGTTGGAGGGCCTGAAATTAAAGGAAGAGATGGCGAGGATGAAGGAAGAGGCGGAACAAGGAAAGCCAGTGTCTGTCGAAAACTCAAGCGAGTGGATAGCTTCAAACATAGGTTGGATGCTTATATGAGCAATAGGGGTTGGGTATAAACGGGACTGCCCAGTATGGGTCAATAGGCCAGCTACAGTTTCCTCCATTCTTATGTTCTTATGTTCTTATATTTGTATCACTTATGTTGCCTGTATATCATTTGTAAATCAAGATTCCCACTTCCCAATTATGTAATTGAATATTTTCAGCCTTCCTGCTGCCATGCTCTTTCAATAAACCGTTAATTATTATTGTTATTATTATTATTATTATTATTATTATTATTATTATAATCATAGTAGTGGTTGTTATAATCATGGTCATGGTTGTTATAATCATAGTCGTGGTTGTTATGATCATAGTCGTGGTTGTTATAATCATGGTTGTGGTTGTTATAATCATGGTCGTTGTTGTTATAATCATAGTCGTGGTTGTTATAATCATGGTCGTGGTTGCTATAATCATGGTCGTGGTCGTGAGACTTACAGTATCTAATATAATATAAGAAGGAATAGAATAAAGGTTAGAATAATTAGTTAAAGAAATATTCGCCATAAGGAGAGGTTAAAATCATAAAAAAAGTATTATGAATCACCGATGATCATTCCAAGATAAATTAGATTATGAAGAGAAGTGACCTTAATTCTGGTTAGATTAGTCACCATCTGCTTAAGTCATCACCTGTGTTAAGACATCATAGTCATCATCTAAGTTAGTTACTTTTAGGCCCATCTCACATGACTGACCGACCATCGATGTTCTTTCCGTGCGTGGGTGTTAGTTTTCAACGCCTCTTATTATTTGCGCTGGTGGATGTAAGACCTCCTACCCTCACTGACGCAGCTATGGTCAATTTGGTGTCATTCTTGTTTATAAATGCCTTCTAATCTGTCTCAAGTCTATCCATCCTGTCTATTGCCAACCCAACTGTCTGTTCGTCTGCGTAGTGTTTGAATGTAACCCTGTCTGTACTAATGTGAACCAGTCAGTCAGTTATCATCTGTCCTGTTAGTTGCCATATTGTCTATTTGTGCATGTATGAATCTGTCTATATATATCAACCTTCTGTCTGTTTCACTGTCTATATTCACCCTGTGTCTATTGTAGTCATCTTCTCCATGCATTCCTGTTATTATCTTTTTATCTCTTCTCCTTTTCCACCCGCAGCAATAAGTATACACTGCAGCTGTAAGATCGTCTGGTAAAGTTTAAACTGAGCATTCAGACGCATGATGAAACTCAGCTCCCCCCACCTGTTATCTCTAATTATTTTCTGTTTCCCTTCTTTATTCTTCTATTTACTCATCTTCCTTCCTTTACTAATCCAAACAACATTAAAAAAAAGTAGGCTAAGAAAAAAGTGGGGGGAGGAGGAGGGAGCCGTACGATAACTGCAATCTGGGCTTACAGCGTCCAGCGAATGATGGTGCGCCAAGTCCGTAGACTTCCATCGTGTTCCAGCATAAATAAAATGGTTATGTTATGGCTTCCTAAAGAAACCATCGATATGGGACCAGGTTTGTTCCACTGTACGAATTTTTTTGCGATTTTTCCACCAAGTTTGATGAAAAACGATTGTGGCGTTTCGGCTGCCCAGACACGCACACACACACACACACACGCCTAGCGCTATAGTATATTAGATGAATATTGACGGACGATTTCTTCCGATAACCGATGTTTTCTATTTTAGAATATGATTAATTTGGAATAAGAAGAAACAACAAGAAAACATTACTTTTTTTTCAAAACTATAGTCAGTATCTTTACAGAAATATTAACTTCTGGGGGGCTTCAGGGTTATGGGTAATGGAAAAATAAGAAGATTGCTCAGCAAAGAAGGCGTGGTGTTGATCCTTGCGTTGGTTGTAAAAAGCAATTATCGCTGAGTCTGAGTTCCATTACTAAGAGTTTGTCGCTTTATAAATGTATTGGTTATGAGGCCAGACTGACCCCTAAAATACCATTTAAGTAACCTGTAAGGAAACGAACGGAGAAGAGCAACAGGACAATTTGCACTTCTGTACATGAGTCTTTAGTTCTTAGAGGTTCAAACATAAAAAGAAAGAAGGTGATAGTAAACACAGATTCCTGGAGTTTTCTGTACTACTGGTAATTTTTTCGAAATTTGTACTTTAAATTTTACATGTTTCGCTGGTTACAAAAAAGATACTCCAGAGATAGGGTAATGTAAGATTTTGGTTCTTTATATTTTTCCAATCACATATACACTTATGAAACTGAACACAACAGGAATTACTGGAATAAAGTGATAAATAATTGTACTCAATGACAATGTGAATTCAACTGAACTTGCTTCATTTAATTTATTTCATATTTTTTGGTGTAATCTCGTTGCATGAACCATTGCATCATCTAGAAGTCATCATTTTCGTGTAGATCGTTGTACATCAGTTATTATGATAATACGTGTTTTTCTTTTTTTACCTATCTTCAGCATTTTCCCGCAAATACAAACAGGCTGGAAACGTGAGCAAATGTATTTAAAAAAAAAAATTCCTTCATTCTTGACAATTTATACCGTTTTACTACTGTGAAAGATGTGTTCTGTTATTTTAAGCCCTTTCTACAAGGCCCTAAATCTTATTTACCTTTGTAGTTTCACACAAAATAGCATCACCCAGCAGCATCACGACCCTCATTAAAAATCTCTTTGGCACTAACCTCTCCGATTATTCACGCATAGTACTGCTTCCTAGATGACCTTTTTTCTTCCTATATTCGACCTATCCATCTGCCACTTGATTTTCCCCTCTCTCAATGTGCCCATACCACTTGAGCAGATCATGATCTGCTCTCCTTCCAACAAGTCCTTCATCTCCATGCCTCCTACTTATATCTCTTTCTTATTCTCTGCATCCTATGTACCTTGCCCTTGCTCTCGGATACGTCATAGCTCTGCTTTTAATCTGTTCCTACTTCGTGCAAGAAGAGTTCACATGTCACTCCCATAATGTTATTGATATTGGTTCAATAATTTCCCTCTACATTTTCCTGCTCTATTTCTCCAAATATTCCTCAATCCACCCATTTCTCCTTTACCTCCGTTAATGTGTGGTCCTCTCCATTTCCTCTATTCTGTCTCCATATAAGCTAACAATAATTTATTTGATTTTCCTTTCTGCCTTTTCTCACCCTCTACCAAATTCACATTCCTGTTAACTGTTTCCTAGATTTACTCATAGGTATTTGTAACTTTACTTTATGACCGCCAACAAGATCAGTGTCATCTACTACCAACAGCTGACTCATTCATTGCTCATTATACACCAGACATTCACCTCTCAACAATACTCTTCATTTCACTTCCTTTGTTTCCTTCGTTATACAATTCTTAGCAATATTACAAAACCATGATGACATTTCACTTCCTTGTCGTAGAACAACTTTCCCTGGCATCAATTTCCCTCTTTCTGGGGAAACATTGACACGTGCTTCTCGTTCTCTTGAATGGACACCATTCATGATTTTTCTAATAAGAGTACAATAGAAACACTTCCCAACTAATACTACTAATACTAATGCCACGTAACACCACGAAGTTCCCAGTGTCTATAGAACTTAGGCAATATAAAGCAGAATTGCAGAATTATAATACAATATATGAACAAAACACAGTAACACATATTCACCATAATGCACAATACATACTGGTAAAAGTTTTGTGCGTCTGGGATGGAGATGTCGTAGTCCAAACGGTGTAAGTCAGCTAGGTGGTAGAGCTGCATGGCCACGTCCAGAAGATTGGCGGCGTAGGGCGGACTATGTTTCTGGAGAAATATAATGTGGGAGAAAAAATAATTCGGAAGACCCTGAAAGTTTACTTTATAAGACAGAAAAAGCGTCATGTAACAGAAAAAGCAGCAAGCTTTAGACAACATATTCATCTATTTGATTGTCAATGAAGCAATTACAACAATAAGATATTCAATAAACTTCAAAGGGCAGAAAAGGTGATTTCTACTAAAGGCAATGTCGAAGATGATAATTATGATAGCTTTCAGGAAAAGATGTTCTTAACTCAAATGATTAAACGCTCATGGTACGACAACGAAAACAAATGTGCATAAAGTACACAAAAGAGACTACCAGGAACCACAACAACAACAATAGAGTCACAAACTACAACAACAAAAGAATCACAGCTACAACAACAACAGCAAAGCCATAACTACAACAACAGAGCCACAACAACAACAACAACAACAGAGCCACAACTACAACAGCAGAGCCACAACAACAATAACATAGCCACAACAACAGCAACAACAGAACAACAGCTACAACAACAGAACCACAGCCACAACAACATAACCACAGAACCACAGCCACAACAACATAACCACAGAACCACAGCCACAACAACATAACCACAGAACCACAGCCACAACAACATAACCACAGAACCACAGCCACAACAACATAACCACAGCTACAATAACAGAGCCACAACTACAAGAACAACAGAGCCACAACAACAACAACAACAGAGCCACAACTACAACAGCAGAGCCACAACAACAATAACATAGCCACAACAACAGCAACAACAGAACAACAGCTACAACAACAGAACCACAGCCACAACAACATAACCACAGCTACAATAACAGAGCCAGAACTACAAGAACAACAGAGCCACAATAACAGCAACAACAGAACAACAGCTACAACAACAGAACCACAGCCACAACAACATAACCACAGCTACAACAACAGAGCTACAACTACAAAACCAGAACCACAGTTACAACATCAGAGCCACAAATACAAGAACAATAGAAGCACAGCTACAACAACATAACCACAATTTCAACAACAGAACCACAATTATAATAACAGAACCACAATTACAACAACAGAAGCACAATTTAAACAACAGAGCTACAACTACAATAACAGAACCACAATTACAATAACAGAACCACAATTATAATAACAGAACCACAACTACAATAACAAAACCACAATTACAACAACAGAGCCACAACTTCAACAGCAGAACCACAATTACAATAACAAACAAAATACAGCAACAGAGCTACATTTACAACAACAGGGCCCCAGCTACAACAAAAAAAGCGTCCAGCCAGTTTCTTGACTTAAATTTTCATCAGTACTAACAGCTGAGAAGAAGAGCACCAGATATTGCAGGAGGAAAACGGGAAGAATTTGGCACAAAAAAGTGAGACAGTGCAGATGGAACACTGACAGGATCAGATATTGGATGCGAGGAAAAAGAATAATTTTTAATTACCCAGAAGACCATGGAAGCTGCAGCGAGGGCAGCAGCTGTCTCAGCAGCCAACTCAGTTCCTGTAGGAGGGAGTCACGAACTGCTCAGTTGTATTCTACAGTACCTCTCATATGTTTAAATTTTTACCAGGACATATTTTCACATTTCAATGATTGATTATCTATATAATTATATGAACGTGAGACTCACATGCCCTATAAAACAGTTCTCGGAGACAGTCAACACAGAACATAAAGGACACAACTTCTCAGCGCCTCGACTTACTAACCTGGGTGAGCTTCATCAATCTTATATGAAGGTCGCTCCATCGTCATGTCCTCAGGTCGTCCCCAGTAGGCGTGGTCAAGGTTGCTGAGGCCCACCTAAAAAAATAAAAAAATAGGTTGTGTGTGGACGTCTAAATCTCTAGATTTTGTCAGGAGCTTTTGTCTGCAGTTATTAATGTCTCTTAACGTGCCTTTTCTCGCTCCTTGTTTTGTATTATTTGTCAATGTCAACACCATGATCAATTTCGTTGTGTTATGTTGAAATAATTTACGTTAAATGTTTATTTATTCATACAGAATACATTTCAATATACTGTTATCAGTCACATCTGGGTCATTAAACGATCTAGCATTTTTTCCTGTATTGTAATATATGACTCAGTTAACCCATTTGTCTCTACGAATACAAAGTTCCCGCATTCTTTTGTACAGCTAGGTGTTAGACGAGTACTTTACTGAACTTCCTATAGGAAACTTTGTCTTACAACACCCAAGAGAATTAAAAATAAGTTTCAAGAGAATGCAAAAACAAATACTGATGAATAGCTACTTAGAACCAATTGATAACTTATGCTGCCATACGCTATGTTTCAAACCAATCGTTAAATAAAGGCACCTATTTACAAATATGTGGAACAACTGACCTGACCATAGAAATCGTATTCGGTAGGATGGGCCTTAACGAAGTAGTCGGTGGCCCACTTAAGTGCTGCCTCACCGTACTCCTTCTGACCTGTGGGAGAAACGCCAGGGTCATGAGTCTCTCACAACACTGTCCCTGGGACACAAACCAGTGTTATCAGTCTCTCACAACACTGTCCTTGGGAGACACACCAGGATCATAAGTCTCCAGCAACACTACCCCTGGGAGACACACCATGTATTAGCCACTGTCTAACAGACAGTAATAGTTATATAAATGTGGGCTGCATAGATTATGTTTATATAATTATGTTACTTCCATTTACCTCTTGTAATCACAGATGAATTGTCCTGAAGTTTCAGCTCTTGAGGTGCATATAAAGTTACACTCATAAATGTTTGTGGGTTATTAAGTTACAAACCCAATGGTTGTTTCGCCTTTTATTAAGGTAATAGATAATGCACAATTAACTTAGGATATCACCGTAACTAACACTATGAGCCGTGAGTGTTACAGTAAATGAAGCGAAGTGTAACTAGCTTCGTGACACACGTCAGGTATGTGAGAGACACTCGTCAGGAGTGAGTGCTGCTAACCACGCATCAGCAGAGGAGCGTAGAGATCAGAGGTCATTTGATGGGCAAGGAGAATACTTGACATACATCATTTGTTTCAATGTTAGAGAGAACAAACTAAGCACTTACTCATAGTTTAATCACCGTGGGTGATGTAATTATATAAGCATAATGTATGTACCCCACATTTATATAAGGACTAGCAGAAACGCCGCCCTCTGGGCGGCTCTTTCACTAGGCCACTGTAGTACGCCACCCTCCGGGAAGCTCCACATTGTCTCACTGTACTTCATTAAATGGTTGTGGTGGTTTTCCAAATTTGGCAGTCGTACTTTCCCACAAGAGCAGCACAGTCCAGCAGATTCTCCTTTGCACTTCTTTGCACAGCAGTGTTCATATTTTTTATTCATGTTGCCAATGACAACAGAGGGATACTTTTCATATTCTGTTTCATCATCATAGTTAAATGCTGCTCTTGCAAGTGGATGCCTGTGTGTATTCTTTCTTAGAATTCTGGATCCCGCAGCTCTCTGTCTATCAGCATTCAAACGCATTGCATGCGCTTGATCATGTTCTTGAGAACGCCTTTCTGCTGTTTGCTGTCTGTGGAGCATGAAGACGGGATTCCCTTTCCTGATCTGTTTCCTGTGACCGACTTGCCGCTTTTCGCTTTCTGTCAGCATTATGATGGCATTCCCTTTCCTGATCTGCTTCCTGTGACCGACTGTCCGCTGTTCGCTTTCTGTCAGCATTAAGACGGGATTCCCTTTCTTGATCTGTTTCCTGTGACCGACTTGCCGTTGTTCGCTCTCTGTTAGTTTGTAAACGTGCAGCACGTTGTTGCCTTGATTCACTTGATCTTGATTGCTGCTTTCTCAGTGCATCTCTCTGTCTTCTTTGAAAAATTGACATCCTTGGTCGTTTCTTTGGTGGCATTTTGTTCAGTTAAATTTGATCTTAATTTTGGTTTTCAGCGCGATTACAATCCTTCCTTCCCGGGCAAAGCTGGGGACAAACAGTGGCTCAAGCTAGTAAGCTACAAAACAACGAGAGAACAGTCCCTCGGCATGTACCACCGACGCTCTTTCAGTTATTTATATAGATGGCCATGGCAAGGAATAGATTAATAAGGTAGGACGCAACGACATTGATCTTAGCGCTGTGAAATATCCTACGTTTGGCATATCTCGTTAGAATGGACTACATACCAACCTACCTACCTTGTTAGAATGGACAGCCTAGAAAAGTTAGAGATCAAAGAAAAGTAAGCTGTAATGAGTGAGAGCATAAGGATAAAATTAGCTATAATACGTGGGATGGGATACGACTTTTCAGCCTCTGTGTGGTGTAAGGGATGGAGGTTAGATGCAGAGAAAAGTAAGCCATAATGAAGGAGAACCTAAGGATCAAAATAGCTGTAAATCATAGGAGGGACTACTTCTTTTCTACGTGTGTGCGTCAGGGCTGACCGTTAGTCTCTCTCACTTTCTCTACTTCTCTCAGGCGTGTCGGGTCGGGTCGGGTTGGGTGTGTCGGATCCTGTTGGTTGGAGTTTTTTTGAGATCCCCACATGACACTTGCTATCCATACTAAGTTTGGGTCCAGATCGGTAAAGTAGTTTCCGAGATTCTCGTGCGGACACAGACAAACAGACAGACAGACAGACTTCTTTGTTTTATATATATAGACTACTGTCTGTTTCACAGTGGACAATACAAATACAACACCCACGGGGATTAACTATGTTTAGTAAATACTGTCTAATACTGAAGCAAGTGATGCATGTCACCATTATCTAGCAGGGTCATCAGTTTATTTGCCAGTTACTTCAGTTATCTCAGGTTTCTCTGACACACCACATGTGCGTTAACAAAGCTCGCTCTAACTCTCTTCACCTATACTAACATTCATAGCTCATAGTGTTAGTTACGGTGATATCATACGTTAATTTTGCATTGACCATTTTCTTAATAAAAGGGGAAAAGACAATTTGGGTTTGCAAACTTAGCTCAAGAAACATTTCTTGTGTGTACATCTGTATTACCTATTACCAACATGGCTGTACCTGCAAGACCATTTATCAAGGATTACACCAGGTAAATAGAAGTAACAAAGGTGGCAGCGGTTATTATATACGGACCCATACAGATCTGAAAACAATTGGTCGGCAGTTTTCATGTCCGTTCTCTATTTTTGCACATGTGATATCCACCAGTGACAGAATTTTTTTTAAGCTTATACAATGCTACACTTCAACATAAAAGTAAAAGAAATCTGTTTTTAGTGATTTTATATTTTTATCACTTGCACTGACACCACTGTACCGCACCCTAACCCTCAGCTGGACGACCAGCCAGCCAATACCATCACCCAGTGCTCCAGAAACATGTTGTTTAACTACATCAGCTCATTCTTCAGGGACCCAATCTCCTTCCAGCAACGGGCAGTGACAGGACCCAGTGAACCCCGTTTGACCCATCTTGTGACCAAATGAACCCAGGTTACACGGCAGTCTTCAAATAGCTTGATCAACTTGATCTGAGCTCTGTGTGTGTGTGTGTGTGTGTGTGTGTGTGTGTGTAACAACACCTTTGTTTTATATTAATACACCTAAATGAATAACACCAAGTTATTCACCAAGTGATTTCCCATGCTATTCAAGACTAGATCAGTTAGGTTGCATCTTTCGTAAGGCTCGAGCTAGGGTCAGCTGATTTAGCAAACACCCTCTCGATCTCTCACGCCCAGGGAGTGGCAGTTCACTTACTAACAATGGACAGGGAAGCTGGGCATTTAACACAAGTTTTATGTCAAAGTGATATTCACAACACTTCACTGGAAAGAATTCACAATACATTCTCTGAGATTGTACCTGTGTAAATACCTGCTTCAGCAATAAAGAGAAAATGCCAAGAAGTGTTTACATCAAGCCCTGCCACTTAAGAGTTCCAGAACTTAATTAAAACAATTAGCGTGAAAAGGATCCTCCCTGGACTTAAAAAATCCAGAGTATCCTACAAACTAAAAAGTCCACAAAGACAATACTCAGCAAAAAATAAATAAAAATACCTACAAACACTATGGGCACTCCGAATAAATGGTATGAACTACTTGAGGTTCCATACCATAATACAGAAGGTTGTAAGAGCATTCAACGGATGAAGCAAAAACATGCTAACCGAAGGGACACCAGTAGTCAGCCTTCAGGGGAAGATGATTGCACACGTCCAGCAACACGATCTGGAATAGCGTTGATGGTGCAATAAAACAACGCTTCCATCACAGGCTCATTAATCGCCGCATTAAACAAAGTGGAGGAGGTGTTGACTGTACCAGCGAGGATAGGTGATAATCGGTTGTCCCTAAACATATATATGGGAGCGTGTGCCACTGTTATCTCATTAGCGTCGTTCAATGAACGCAATCGACGATATCCTCCTAATAAGTGGCCAATAAAACCAACAGACATTCCTCCTCCTAGGTCAAGTAAAGTTCTTCTGGCGGATTTCTACATAGTAAAGATACTCTCTTTGCCAGCGGATGGGTTAATCTGTCTTTCCACACTAAAGCAGAGCAACACTATCATTCAGGCGGCGAAATCAAGAATCGACAATAAAGTAGGGTTAATAGCTCCACAAGTGATCTTTTAGAATTACTAGCCTGGCTCAAGGAAATCATAGCATTATCTGTAGAACCCCTAGGTAAAACAACGTTGACAACCCATCACATTCCACTCAAGCCGGACACTCACCCGATCTACAGACCAGCATATCGGCTACCCCACAGCCAAAGGGTTGTAGTCGAACAATGGTACAAGAAATGCTGGAAGAAAAGGTAATCCAACCTTCCTCGGCACCATGGAACTCACCTCTATTTTTAGTTCCCAAGAATGATGGAGGATGGAGACCACTCATAGATTTTCGATGAGTCACCCAAGCAACTATACCAGACAGGTTCCCAATGCCTGTCCTAACTGACTTACTACAGTCCCTAGGAAAAGACAACGCCGTCTTCAGTAACCTAGATTTGCTTAGCGGGTACTGGCAAATTCCCTTACATAAGTATCCCGCGAGGCAACTGCGTTCAGTACTCTAATAAGACATTTCGAAGAATTGCAAATGCCGCTAACATTCCAAAGAATGATAAGTAATACAGTCTATGCCTATCTAGATGATCTTATCATAGTAAGCAAAGTTATACAAAGCTATTTAAAGTAACTATGCGAAATTTTCACAAAGCTACAAATAGCTGAACTGAAAGTGAAACTTTCCAAAATGTGAATTTCTTAAATCCAGAATCCAATTTCGAGGACACGTAGTGAATGGCAAAGGTATACACACCGTAGATTGTAAGGAAGTACAGGGGTACCTAGTGACAGCACTAGGATCCCGCTTCTTCTATCAAGGAATAAACAATTGAAATTGAAAGTGAATTGATTGTAAGGTAAAGACGGTGAAGCAGTTTCCTTGTCCCAAGAATGCAGATCAACTTCGTAGTTTCCTGAGATTTTCAGGA